AAGAATCTGCCTGACTGTGAAGATTTGATCCGTAGTTGATTTATTGGGTCGGAAACCGCACTGGTAGTTACCAACTATTTGATTATTAACTGATTAACCAACAGAGACATGATGGTCTGTGATAATTATAGAGGCATCACCCTACTTAACGTGGCATATAAAGTATGGTCCAACGTATTGTACAAAAGATTGATCCCCTATGCTGAACAAATAAGTTGAAAACTACCAGGGGCTTTGTTATTTTTCAGTTTTGAAATAGCTTCTCTAATTTCTTCTTTGGTGGGGAGCGGCTCTTGAGCGTTTTCATCCATTTTAGGCAAGCTTATTTCTATTTGGTCGTACTGGTCACTTGTTTAGTATCTGTTCTTTGTCACTAATTATGGAACCATCTCTGTCTTTACATGCTGTTATTCTGGGTTTGAATTCTTTTCAGCAGCTGTTTATGTTCTGGTAGAATTTTTGCAAGTCTTTTCTGTTGTGGTGGTTAACAATCTCGTTTAGAGCGTTTTCGTATGACTCTTTCTTTTTCTTTCTAAATGTCCTTTTTTCTTTTCGTCTTATATTTTCATAGTCTTCCAGGTTTTTTCTCGTTCTGCGCTGCTGAAGTCTCTTGAATACTTCATTTTTCTGTTGGTTAATAGATCTACATTCTTCGTCAAACCAATCTTCGTTTATTTTAGCCTGGTTAGGTTTTAAATTAGATTAGATAGTCAAGGGGTTATGATGAACAAATTAGAAGCCTTCGAGATGTGGTTATATCTTACAATGCTCAAAATATCATGGGTTCAACATACTTGAATAGAGTAGGTCAAGGTGAAGGTAACTTAATAAAGATGATAAAAAAGGGAAACCTCAGAGTCAGTAATAAATATTGTAAATTATAGTAGTTGCATTTTAGTTCTTAGTGATAAGTGAATATTATAAATAAAGACAATAAATTAGAATTAATAAAAACCTAATAATATCAAATATAAACGACCAAAAAGAGCCACTAGCCATCCTCTACAATCCAATGTATCCATCAAACCCAACAATATTTTCAGCAAACACTCTACTTCAATTGTATAATCAACACAGAAACTTACAACAATTTTCCCCATTTCCTCCAATACCATCTAGTACCCTTACAACGAACTAGCCCCTTACGAACACCGCCTCACATGTACCATTCGCTCATTGCTTGACATCCTCTCAGCAACATTCACGCACTTCTTTAGCTTCAGATAACGATTATCATGCACGTTCAGAGTGTTTTGGATCTGAAGCTGAATCAACAAGCTTAGCGATGTCAATGCCTTAGTCTCCATGTAGTATTGATTTTGTAACCCTTTTTTGCCCAAATTAAGATTTTTCAAAAAAAACAATTTTTTTTACATGTATCGATATAATAAGATAGCTTAAGCATAATTTAATTTTTTTTTTATTTTTTTTTTGCCACAAAGATTCTTTTCAAAGAGATGGGACTTACAAGTGCCGTCAGGAATTAGGATAGGAGATTCTATCAGGAGATAACTATTAGCGATTTCTGTTGCTATAGAAAAAAAATGCTAAAAATAAAAGCTTTTATTATTTTCTATAAATGATTACTATTAGACAGAACTTACAACGAAGTAGGAAGGCTGTGGTACATCGCAAAACAGTTTTTATTTGAATTACAACACAAATAGGCACCACAAAATGAACACTTTGATTGAGGTCTAGACTCTAATGCAAGTGAGCTGCATTATTCACATCTTCCCCTATTGGTGGTAAAAACAGGCCAGTGTTTCCCCAAATTTCCCAATCTGACGTCATCCAACACGCTGTATTTATACTTCCTCCTTTTGTTTGGTGTAGATGACTCAAAACTTCGGGAACCTCGCTTCTTTGCTTCAGTTGCGTATGTTATAAGTCCCATAGCAACCGATCTTCTTGCCTCCAGCTGGCTGGTTTTTTCGTATAATTCATTATATATAATATATGAATTCACAAAGGCAATGTCCAACATACCCCAGAATAGACGGTGCCACCATTTACGTGATTTTCTATCTACACAGTATGAACTACGTAGTTGATCGGCAAGGTCAACGCCGCCCATATTTTTATTGTAGTCTTCCACAACGCTAGGGCATGGTAAGTTTATACTCGAACCATCTCTTTGTTTTCTGGAAACATGTTTTACTTCTGAACCATGAAAGTTAGTTGCAATGTGAACTGCTCTGTTATCCATCCACACAAAATAACCGATGTTAGTATTAGAATACATATAATCGAAATCTCTGCGCTGTAACTGCTTTTCTTTTACATTTCGAGGCAAGTCCTTCCTATTTTTACGAAGTGTACCATATGCTAATGTGTTTTCTAGTTTTTAGTAATTTTACGCTCGTAAAGAAATTATCAAAATAAATAATTCTTCCTTCATTCCAGTACATCTTGGTTAATGATAGGACTACTCTTTCTCCTAAACCATAGTTCTCGAATTCGGTCTGCAATTTTTCGTTTTTGCCTTGATATAAGTCAAACTGTAAAATAAAACCATTTTGGTCTGCAATAGACCATAATTTGTAGCCCCTTTTGATGGGCTTTTTCGGATTATATTGTTTCAAGCTACTTCGCCCTTTAAAAACGATCATAGTTTTATCCACACTTAGTTTTCTTGTACCCTGATAACATTTAGTAAATTGTTTGTTTAGAGTATCTATCATTGGTCGAATTTTAAATGCCTTATCTTTATTGTCGTTGGAAATTTGATGGTTATCGTTGACATGTAGATTTGCTAATATCATCTCGAAACGATTCCTTGACATGGTTTTCAAAACAAGAGGCACATGTAAGTCTTCTGAAGTATTCCAGTACATTTTACACGAGGGCAGTTGATGGTACCCCATTAAAAAGTTCAGCCCTATAAAGGCCAGTAATTCACCCTCCTTCATATTCAGTATCTTGTTATTCTGCACTGCATACAAATTACTTTGATAGGTAATCTTCTCCACAATATCTCCAAGTAGTCTAAGAAAAACATCTGTAGGCGTTGTGCAACCTGCGAACTCTGGACTCACTGCTCCTTCTTCTAAGTGGTAACTTTGAATAATTTCGATGACATCTTTCTTATGCCATTTCCGGTTAGCTTCAAGAAGTTCAACATTTTCATTTAGTTCGTCCTCAACCATAGCTTCTCCTGTTCCCGATTCTTCAATCTCACCTACATCATTTTCAACTACTTCACTTTCTTCAGCTGCAGACGGACTAACATCTCTTATTTCATTATCGTCAAAATCGCTGTCTTCAAATTCACTAATGTCGACATCATCTGGTAGGTCCAGAATTTGTATTGCCAGTTCCTCTAGTTCCTTTTCTGATAAAGGCTTTTTCATAAAATCCTTCCACTTACGTGACATTCTAAAAGAAAGTAATATAAAATAAAAACATGTTTTGAATCCTGACGGGACTTGAGAGTCCCAAGGCATTGTGTAGTAATATGAGACGTAATTATCATCATAACAAAATAAATATTTAATTGGTGCTTACACTAAAGTATATTGTGTCTGATTCACAAATAAAATTCCGCAGAAACAGCATAAACAATAATCCACGATTTTCAACGAATACACCCGGTGAAAGATTCTCTTATGCTAGATAACCGTTGTACGCGTCCGTCCCGTCAGGAATTACGCCAACTTCTGCCGTAATAAGAAAATCATAACGATTTAAAATTTTGGGACTTCAGAGTCCCGTCGAGCAAAAAAGGGTTAATATAACTGTTTCATTTTCATATTGAAACCATTGAAACACCACGAATTTCAATCAATTTATTTTACCTAAAACATCTAACATTTACCTTAAAGTAACAGCCAATATTTCCACTGGTTGAATATAGTTTCTCATTTTTGTATTTTAACGCTGAATGACTTCTTTCAGTCGACCACGTAGTTTGTCAAATGATGAAATTGACATACAAAAATAATTGAAGAATTTTAACTCATATTTCCTTTAATCTTCAAATAATGTGACAAACATCCCAACATCGTATCTTTTTGTGTTAATAGGATGGATCCAATGACTTCGGTCCCTCTTATTTCTCTTTTTTCGACGAAACAGTAACCACAACGCTATAATTTGATTTTGCTCCATATCTGCACTATACTTTTTATTTTACGAAATTATATTTAGTGTTAAAAGGTAAACGACTCGGTTAAAAATGAAGTACGGCAGCAGGGACGCCTTGTGCGAAGGCACAATCAATTCTGAACGTGCGTCAAAACTACCGAACGTCAAAACCACCGAACGTTCAAATTCTAAAGGTCGATTCAGACACATCAGTCACGTCTCGTCATAGTCCTGGCGCCGAACCGAACAATCCGTCATACAAAATATTCTTTAATAGAAATATGGCGCCGGCATTCACATTCATCAGGCGACGAACAGTTTCCCAGCTGTCAGATAATTAATAGTTCTGTGACCAAACAGGACCGGTTCGGCGCCGGGACTGATGTGTCTGAATCGACCTTTAGTTTGTGAAAGGAGCGTAATGCTCCTTCCTCGTAGGTCCCTCTTACGTTCCATGTATCCATCTTTAATCCATTTTTAATTTTTTTGTTTCCTTTCTTGCTTGCTTCTTTTCCTTCCACCAAAATTATCGTCCTTATCGTAGCCATGTAAATGTAATTTCTGTTAACTATAGTGCTTTCGTAACTGACTACTTATAATGATACAACTTTTTAAGTTGTACTATATAATTTAAATCAAGTATCAAGTTTCTTATTTAAACTAGTTTTTTCAATGTTTTAGATTGATATTTTAATAAAGAAGTATTGGGATTTTTCTTATCGTCGGTTCTAATAAATTATATCAAAAAAATTTAAACATGAAAAAAAATTTAGGTTTTTGAAAACAAAGTGAATATTTTTGATCAGATAGTCTTCAAGTTGTAGATTATGTTATCTCGAGTAATATAATCGAAGTATACATTAACTATTAAGTTATAATCGTGTATAGAGAATATTTTAACCTGCAAGTGCGACATGATTTTCGCTGTATTTTCTCTCTTTATTATCCAAGCGTTTGGTAAGAAGGCAATAACTTAAAAAGCTTTTTATTTATTCTGTTATATTATGCAATTTCTAAAAATTTAACAGTTGGTTTTAAAATTCGGTCATTTCAGTTGTTCTGGTTATCACAAAAAAAATTGGCACATTTAGGGCGGAGTTACTCGACATAAGGATTGTCACTTCTTTTTGAAATACATACATTGTTTTTACTCAACATATTTTTTACTTATTTACTACCGGATGTTGCCAATCACGTGCACAAATGTATGTACTCTGTCCTCAATGGTATGTGTAAGATCTCCAATAGTTCGGCGCCTCTCCATTCTCGTATAGTACCTAATCAAGACTTTTCTAACCTCCGTTTGCTCTCAATCTTTTGATCGATTATCCTATTTTATTACCTGAAAACCCTTACTTTTATTTTTTATTATATTCGGAATATAGCTTCTATTTTTATTTTAATATTAGAACCATCTCTCCTTTCGTATTTAACACAGGATCTCTTCGTCATTTATTCCATCTATCAACAGAGCTTCTCCAGTTTAGTAATTACCGTTAGTTTTATAGATAATAAATCCATTTCCTGCAATAATATAGATCCGCATGAATATCAGATTTTTTACACTATTATTCCTTGGTAAAATGATTTATAGGTGATTTGTGTTCTGTATTTTCTTTTTTATATTGATTCCAGTTTTCATGCAACCAACTTCCCAAATACTTACTGACTGTCCTCGTTAAATGTCAACTTTTAATTGCTAATGGCAATGTTAAAAGATGAAAAACTACGGCGGATTTTGACTTGGCACAAATTGCAACCTTTTACAGATTTATTGTGCTTTCCTTTGCAGCTTAAAGCTCTATTGAGCTTTAGCCCTACTTAAAGCCCTGTTCTCTTAATAAGGTTCTATAGCGTTGAGAGAGGTACCTTTCTATATACAAATGCTTCTTGTTTTTCGTCTCTGAATTGTAGATACCGCATCCACGTGAGGCCTTCACATTGACACCAACGTGTAAAGTGGTTTCGTCGTCTTCTAGACAGAACCGACGAATATCTTTTTCTATTAAACCCATATGACTCAAATATTCCACAGTGTCAGTCAACAGCCTCACTATCACCCTGACAATTCATTGAATGTAGGTTGTTAAGTGGCCTGTGAATTGGGCGGAATGTCCCTGTCTTTATCCTGATGCAATTTTATACAATTTTAATGACTTATCTTGCCCAAATTTATTAATAACCCATTTTAGCCATCTTCTTCTTCTTCCAGTGCCCTGTCCGTTGCAAACGTTGGCTAGTAACATGGCAATTTTGATCTTGTTTGCGGCGCTTCTGAATAGTTCGACCGATGTGAGCCCGAACCACTTCCGCAGATTTTGGAGCCACGAGTGTCTTCTCCTGCTTGGCCCTCGCTTACTGTCTATTTTTCCCTGGACAATCAATTGTAGCAGACGGTACTTATCGTGTCTCAATATGTGGCCTAGATATTCAAGCTTTCTTTGTTTAATTGTATACACGATCTCTTTCTCCTTTCCGATTCTTTGGAGTACCTCTATGTTGGTGACATGTTCGATCCAGGATATATGAAGAATGCGTCGGTACACCCATATTTCGAATGCTTCTAGTTTCCTCGTTAGCGTCTCCGTCAGCGTCCAGGCCTCCACGCCATACACCAAGATCGGAAAAATGTAGCATATAACTAGACGTAGTTTTAGGGAAAGAGACAAATCCTTGCTTATGAGGAGCTTTTTCATATTGCTAAATGCTGCTCTAGCTCGTTCTATTCTCGCCTTAATTTCTATGGTCTGTTCCCATTTTGCATTTACGTTGGTGCCAAGGTACACATAAGATTCTACATGATCAATTAGTGTGTTACTTATCCGTAATTGTCGAGCAGGTTGTTGCTTTTTGCTTATCAGCATCCACTTTGTCTTCTTGAAGTTGAGGCTCAGGCCGTATTCCTCACTAACTGAATAAAGTCTTTCCATTACTTGTTGTAATTTGTCTATGGTACTGGCAAGGATCACCGTGTCGTCGGCATATCTTATATTGTTCGTTAACTCGCCGTTTATTTTTATGTCCTCATTTGCATTTTCCATACATTTAGCCATAATAGCCATTTTATGTGTACTCACAACTACAAATCAGGTCTTCGGGCCAATAAGCAGTATAAAAGCGCCTTGCTGGTTCAATTTAACAGCCTTTTCGTTACCCTGGTAGTCTTAGTGCTCTAAAATCTAGCCTAGTGTTAATCTATTCCCTCTTCGAACCTATAAGAGGGCTTCTAAATCGCTCTAAACATACCTGGCAGATATTTTCTATAGCACATCATTTTATAGCGGCAATTTTTATTCTGAAATATGGCGATTTCTATCCTGATATGGTGCCATAAATACCAGCCCCTTCATAAGTTTCGTAGCCGTCTATATAACAATTTAAAATTGCCATTATTGGCGGACCGGTTTCCCACTCCTCCCTCTTTGATACTATGATATTACAAAATATATCAAAGCTATATCTTTAGACTATTCGGTCTACAAGTAGAATGGGATGCCCAGAACGTAAGATGTAGAACGGGATCTGCCTTTATATTATGCTAAAACCTTGCATTGTGATTATAGGAACCTGTCTATATATTAGCTTGTGTACCGCAGACCTGGCCTATCCTTGTATATATCTGTGTACATCCGCATTGCCGTATACTGTTTGGTCCTGGTCTACCATACCACTGAACCAATGTGTAAATATTCAGTTTTTTACTTAGTCGATATTTATTTCCACACAGTCGTCTACATATGCCAAGATCTATTGTAATGTTTTGTGGAAAATTTTTGATGTGTGGATTACATGTCAGCTTCTGGTGAAATATGATACCTAGGTTCTTGGTCTTACTTATAAGTAGAATGTCCAATTACCTTAGCACCAGTGGATATAATCTTTGTAGTGCCATTTTTCTAGTAAAGGTAACAACTCTTGTTGTTCTCAGTTAAACACTTAGGCTTTTATCTTCATACCAGTTTTCTAACTACTTCGCGATCTTCATTAATTATGAAACCGTTTTGACTAAACTAAACACCCTCTGGCTACTGCTGCCAGATCGTCTGCATAGCCCAGGTAGTAATAGTTTTTCCTGAGCTTTATTAAAAGATTGTCCAGTAGTGTTGCCCACAACAGTCCGGATAATACCTTCTCCGGATGTCCTTTCTGCCCTGTCCATCCACTCGTATATGAAGGCTAGTGCTAGGCTTTAAAGTGCTTTCATCACGGACTTAAAGGAGACGCTGTTAAACGCTCCATCCAGGTCTAATAAAATCGCTACCACTATCTCTTTGTCCGTCAATGGCTTTGAGAACAGTTGCCTAAGATCGTTCAATCCCTGACGCATATTGACGATACTGTAATTTTCCCTTTAGCACTTCGTCTTGGATGTACCTATATAGAAGCCTTTTCTAGAAAATATGATAGGATTAATCATTTGTATGTCTTTAGCAAGACATACAGAATTACCAACGAAAAAGTACTACATAGAATGGGTAAAGAGCGCGAACTAGTCGCAACTAGTAACCATAAAACGTCGCAAACTAGAATACCTGGGCCATATAATGCGCAATAAACAACGATATGACCTACTTTGAACCATACTTCAAGGTAAAGTGCATGGGAGAAGAGGTCCAGGACGGAAAAGAATATCCTGGCTGCATAACCTGCGAAAGTGGTTTAACTTAACCACTACCGGACTTTTCAGGGCAGCAGTCAACAAAGTCAGAATAGTTATGTTAGTGTCCAACATTCGTAACGGATAGGCACTATAAGAAGAAGATGTCTTTGGCGTTTTGAGGTTAAATGTGTTATTTTTATATTCTGTTCCTACTGCAGAAAGACAGAATAGATGCTACGCATATCGAAAGACTTATATGGCTGAAATTTATTTACAGCCCACCTAACCCTCTGAGTTCTCGTAATTTCAATACCCAGCTGTCAGTGCCCCGTCAAAGTTCTTCTTGAATTAATCGACTTTGCTAAAGAGTTAATATTGATAGATATTAACTAACCATTTGATGGCCATAAAAGTACACTTTAGTAAGAATTAATAAGCATTCCTTATGCGTTTTTATATGGTTTGTCTTCTTATTTCATGAAACCGACCTAAGGTACCATCCTTGGCAAAGATTTTGTGGATTTTGGAGCATGCAGTAGCCTTTTTGACTTTTTTGCAGAACCCTTGCCACAAGTTTATTTTGGCTTTATGGTTTTTTTGAATATACTTCGTTAGCTTTTCATTGTAATAATCCCACTTGGTTGGATTTGGCCTTATTGAGAAGCCTATTTACGTCTATTCTAAGCTTGTAAGTGTTCATTCCAGTAGGGTGTACTATTCTTGCTTTCTTAATATTTCTGGACAGCTTTCTTAATATTTCGTGTCAAGCCGCCAGTTTGGAATCTCACATCTCTAACGATACCTATATCCTTCCGTATGAAAAACCTTTCGATTATGCTTTTATGGCTTTTCTGGTCTACCTCTCTCATATTTCTGAACTTTAATAAGTGACTAGTTCAAATCAAATTTGCTATGATATGAATATAAAGATTCTTCTGATACATGACAATTTTTTTATATATGTATGAACCATTTTACGTTTTACATTTTTGGATACCTAGTTGCCATCTAACTTTATCTCTTTGTGACTTCTCATCTAAGTGGATGTCTTTAATTTAGCTGTCTATGCTTTCTCTCCAGATTTTTGTTAGTCCTCCAATTTTTGATATTGTTGATTTCTATATTTTTATTAGAGATGCCAGTATCCATACTTTAATATTTATATTATCAGCATCTACAAATATCTTTCGTTATATTGATGATATTGATGTGGATGTACCTTTTTCTTTTCATACGTTTTTTATTACTTTCCAGCCTTGAGTGCTTTTTCTACCACCTTTCTATGTATATATTAATCTTATTGCAATTTTTCATGTCATCCATATTATTTGTATTAAGGTATTTCAGGTCCTTTTAT